TGATAAATATTCACAATCGCAACCAAAAGGCTAAAGGATCCGCGGCTCAGTGGTTGAGTGTTGCATTTGGTAACGTCCAATGACCGAAAATTCAAGCTCGAATCCTAGGTTCTTTAAGTCCGCACTTGGACCTGATTGTCTGACGACGGCTGGTCCACCTTGTCTTTATCAGTACTCCATCCAGCATACAAAAGTGGGAAGAAGTATCGGCAAAGGCTTTGGAGACTGAGATGGACAATATTTCTTCTTATAATCCTACTGGTCGCCTTGCGACCACATGTGAGGACTCCAGATTGAGCTCCAAGGCGCATATTTGTGGGACGGTGTGCCGAGAAAGACAAAAAAGACTGAAATGTGTATATCTTGTTTATTAGCCGTCGTCACTTGTATACAAGGGAGGCACGTGGGCTGCACAACCAGACGAATCGCATTCGTCTGCAACCGATCAGTCAAAACAAACGCATGATCGTCAGAAGCTGCTACTGTCGCGCCGCATCCTCCCAATCATGCGTTCCCTAAGCCCTAAATCTCTGTTTCCGCGCTTAGGATACTTTGTGAGTTCATACGGCTAACCGACTCGCGCGACCTGGAGTCACGCAAGATCTACGCAAACTTCCTTCCCTGATCAAGCCAGATCGATTTCATAGCGCTCTTCTTTATTCATTTATGAATCTGTGCTGGATACGGTACCTCAGAGAACCTAGGTTGATCGTAAATGAGTATTGCCTACCGCCAAATCGCGAAAGATTCGTTAAACATGTAGTTCGCGATGACTAGTTCAAATGAACTGTGTCATGTGAATCACGGCAAACTCGCGAGATACGTTTACCTCAGTTGGCCCAATTTTGAGACTCGGCGACCTCGGTGGGATTCAAAATCACGACAACAAGGGCAAGACTTGAGTACAGACAGCGCTCTAACCACTTGAGCTACGAGGACCCGCCGGGAGCCGTGTCCCATTGAGGCCTATTAATAGGCTATTTGGCAGACCATTGGGATGTGGAAGGCCACATTGCTCGACCATTCAACTGCTCGCAACTGTGAGGCTACGTCATGGTCGATGTGCTAATACGGTGCCTACGAAAACGTTAGCAGATGTGTTCGGCCAAGAGCGATAAGGCAATAATAAAAGTTATAGATCCAGTCTACTCATGTCTGATGTGAATTTACGCAAAATTAATTTGTTTCCAGCACATTTGCCCACACTGGGCTGACAAATAAATGACGTCGGTCTTAGAGGTAGAGGCTTGCGTCGTTGGCTTTTTTAACTTCTGTCCACTAAAAAGAATGTCGAATGATCTATTCGACGTTGCCTAATGGCGCATTGTAGAGTTAAAATGAACAAGTGGGACCGAAAAATACCAACTTATTTTGAGACATTAAACTGGATGAATGAGGGTCTGAAGAGGAAGCTATGAAAATTACACACTACACTTAAAACAGTCTATCGCCTGCAGTGCTAAATGCACAGCATGGGTTGGAGAGAAACTCGGATAAATAGCAAAGTGAAATCGTGCTGACAGTTCGGCCATCGATTTCGACGATATTCAGCGCGTGCTCCGCAGCATGGTGGAAGCGGGGAGGGTGACTTCCTTGCGACTTACTTTACAGTAATTGTGGAGTTGCGCAACATCCACTGCACTCTCTCCTTTTCTTCCATCTAGGTCCTATTTCAAGACAGAGTCAGGAAAACCGGAGGCGAAATCGGGCGCTAGTGGTTAGCGTGGCATGAACCTTTGCCCAGACGTGTCGCCGAACCCCCTGGTCTACGCACAAAGGAACAGGACTTGACGCAATACAAAGATTGAGACGGTTCAGATCCCATATAAGTGGAAGTTGCATGAAGGCCAATTTAATGAGGAGCCATTGCGGTATAACTCTGACCTGAGAGGAGAACCGAGGTACCCCCGTCCGTTGGCAGTCTTACAAGTCATGACTTGTTCCCCGTGACAGATTCAAGCGCGTCAAATTGTTTCTAGTGTGAAATACCCGCTGAGACAGTCGAACTCACTCTCTCTCTTCCTTCTCCCAAACATCAGTCACTGTCAGAGCCAGTCAGTCAACTGATGTGCGGAATGAACGCGGAGACTGACAGAGCTAAAGACAGCTCGCCTGCGCGTGCCAGATAGAGTGGGTGACCGATCTAATTAAATGTTTGCTGAAATTCTGAAATGCGTTTTCGATTTGAAAGGATTACCTAGGCGCGGTTGTAATACTAACTATCTTGCAGCATAATCTTATAATATTTCGGACTCGTCAGGATGTCAGCTTTAAAATGCATTTCTCCTCAACCTCCTGTAGAAACCGCACTCGGCAAAAATGCATTTTTCCCATTGATTTTCGATAGCCTTGCAAATTCAGATATATGTTATAGAGACCATAAACAAAAATATGCTTTCTCTTAGTCGTGTGATAGAGAATTACGTCTTCTTCATATTTTGTGATCGAAGAAGGAGTATAATTAGGTCTTGAAATAGTTTTCTAACTGCCAAATAATTTGGAGCCTGATCATTGTTTGCACTAGCGCTTAACGATTTCAGTCTATAGGGTGCATGCGTTCCGCGTTAAGAAACTCACATATTTTTTTATGCCTTTATAAGTCTATCATACAGAGTCCATTAAATTTTGCGATGGATGCGGACTATGTTGTACATTTCATGAGGAGTTGTGGTTAGCGAACAGGTACGATGCCATGTGAATGGAAATTGCGCGGCCTTAAAAAATCTCATAGTTAGGAACTTTTCTAAAACCTACTTATACTCCTTCTTCGAGTATAAAATATAAAGAAGACATAATTCTCTATCAAACGACTAAGAAAAAACATATTTTAGTTTATGGTTTCTATAACATATATCTAAATTTGCAAGGCCATCAAAAATCAATGGGAAAAATGCATGCCACTTAAGTAGTCATTTTTGCCGAGTGCGGTTTTTACAGGAGGTTGAGGAGAAGTGCATTTTAAAGCTGACATCCTGCCGAAACCGAAATATTATAAGATTATGCCGTAGGATAATCAGTATTACAACCGCGCCTAGGTAATCCTTCATACTCGGAGACGCATTTCAGAATTTCAGCCAACATTTCATGAGATCGGTCACTCACTGTACATGGCCTGACCTCACATGCACGAGCACCAGGATTTCACACAAAGGGGATGAGCGGCATGGCTCTCACACGCGTGAGTGCCAGAAGTCACGATGAGAAGGAGCCGTCGCAGCCTGACTCCCAGTTCATTGGTCGGTCACTCCGCACATACACACACTGGGCTAACTGCGAGGTCTGAGTTGAATCGTCAACTTGCAACCCTCCAAGCCATGGCATTTAACGTGCCGTGATAGTCTTAAGCGCGTCAAATCGTTTTTAGTGAGGAAAATGTGCTGGATCAACCTCACTCTCGCTTCTACGTCCTCTGCACTAGTCTATTGTGCGAGCCGGTCAACCAACTGATGCCGATTCGGACGTAGTGGATGAGAGAGCTAAAAATAGCCGTCTGCGCGTGCCACATACAGCACTCACAGACTTCGCACAAAGGGGATGGACTGTTCGGATCTCCCATGTAGCAGAGGGGCCATGCTGAGGAGCCGAAAAATGCACTTCCCACTGACGTGAGAGGTGACCACTTCGTGCCTCTGGTGGTTGATGTCGGACGTGTTCATTTGTGGGACATGTATTAATGGGGAAATGTATGTCGATGTGGTTTATTCTGCGGTGATTTGCCGCAGATTTTCATGGAGGCCCATGTGACTGAGCAGGCCCACGCTCTGATTGAATGGGTGTGAGAAGTGCGGACAGTGAAGGCGGATGCGGCGAATGTATGTGTGGGGCTCTCGGCGCTGGTTCGCCGGTCACAGTGAGATGGATCCGCAAGCGAGCGACCAAGTAGGTGTGTGTGAGGGGAATGTTTGACCGCAGTGAGGACAGGTTGAGACCAAGTCCTCATTGAGAGCAGTGGTGGTGAGGGTAGCGGCTGACAGAGCTTCGGAAATATTCTCATCGGTGGCGGGAGTGGGCGAGGTGATAGTCGTCGTCGTCGTCGTCATCGCATAGATTGCGACCGGGATGATGGGCGTGACAGCCAGGTACGGCGGTATGGCGGTAAGGGTGTGATAACTAGTGGTTAGAGCGGTTGACGTCGTGGACGCTGTATGGGTTAGCTCAGGGGCAACGATGGAGGCGTTTGGGGGAGGGGCAATGGGCGAAGTTGCCAGGTTCTTGTTGCATTGAGTCCAGAGCTGTTCTGTAATCCCGGTTCATGCATGGACGGCGTGGACGACCTGGAGAGGTCTTGGTGTTGGCGTTATGGTCCGAGACGCTTTTGGTTTGCGAGTCGCTCTTTTGGCTTTGGCAGCGGCGATTCGGTCGGCTCCGATCATTGCTGCTCCAGTCTTCACAGCTCTTCTCAAGGCCGGTATATGCTAGGTGAGATCATCCAAAGTCCTCGGGATGATTTATAAACATTTTAGGGAGTTATTCAAGATGTTCTTATAGCGTCTTTTTGTTCTCCTTGCCGACAAGCACTCGTGGCGGCATCACTGTAAAAGGCTGGCTTAGGTAGATGTATGTCATTCATATCCCCAAGGTGACCAATCTAACTCAATCGAATTTACCTAAGAGGGGCATGAATTATGAGGATTCCTGATCTTTCAAGGACTTCTATATCTGGAATCCTGTCTTGCCATCTCAGTCCCAGTATCCCGACGTGGAAGTGGTTGAGTCCCCTTGCTTGTTTCTCGTAGACTGTTCAGGTCTCCGCTTTTTTTTGTAGTACTATAAAGATGATAACTTTACACATCTCCAGATTTGGGTTAAGAATGAGACCATGGCGGTTCCACACTGAGTCCTGCAGTCGACCGAAGTTCTAACTGGACGTAGGGATCAGCTGGCCCAATTCGTCGTCGATTCTGGTTCTGCGTGCTAGTGTGCTGCCCACATAGACGAAATGATCCATGGTTTTGAGTTGGATGCCATTTACAGTACTGCGAGGAGCCGTGGTTTTAGTGTCAAATGACGGCTAAGGCTTGGCCACCGTTGTATCCGTGTTGACGACCAGCCCAGGTTTGGCGCGGACGGCGGCGAAAAGGTCCATGCTCCGTTACATTCGCGGTGTTGCGCGCACCGCCGCCCGCAAAGAGCAGGTCCCGGACAGTAGCCGTGAGGAGACACGTTGGGGCCTGCGTGGTTAAATTGTTGAGAAACTGTTCGTCGGTCCTATTGACGATACCGATCCCGGAGCCCCCATCGCGGTAGCTGCTCACCATCGTGGCAGAGAGCATGAGATGAAAGAGAGTGGCAGCTCAACTTCTTCCTTCACTATATATCCTGGAATGCAGACTGCTTCCTTATTTAACATATAGAAGTATCTCTAGTTTAAAATTTCGCCTTTTTAATATTTGCTAGAAATAAGATGTTTAAGAGAAGTTTCTCCGAGCTCTTATTCCTATTCTAACAATGGTCGATATAACTGACATTATGCCACTTTTCTGCCGACTGGGCTGATGTGCGATGTGAAGACCCATTTTGTCATGCACGGACCCGATATAATTGCGCCTGACTTCAGTCTAGGTTCTAATCGATAATGAAATTAATAGGCAAAAATATAAAGCACAGTGCAACAGTACACAGGAAATGAACCGGGAATTCATGTAACAGGGAAACTAAAGTGAAGCGTATTGAAGGAATTTTGGGTTCAGTGAGGAAAGTGGAAAAATTTATGGTTTTCAATAAAAACATGATTCAAAACATCGTGAGAACCGCGTGACAGAAAAAAATCTGGCGAAAACCATCTCAGGAAAATAGAGAGGCTAGGCAAAAAGGATGAATACCAGGGAAATTGTTGTTGTCGATAACTGTAGAAAAATAACCAAACGGCTGAAACATCAGAACAATAGATAAGTAACGGACGGTTGTGGAGAAGTGTGACATCGGACGTCCAAAATATATAAACTTACGTAAACAAACGTAAATTTGCGGCAAAACAGGGTTAATAGCAAGGACGGAATCAATTTACAGAACTGCCCATTAACTTTGTCCCTCGTCGAATTTTGGCCTAATTTGCTCTCCTGCTGCAGCATAGGGAAAATATACCAGGTATTCACTAGCCAAATAGGAATATAAGTCTTATCGAACACGCACACTTGTGTGTTATCAGTCATGCGCTCGATGATGACTATGGTGAATTTGGATGTACTCGCGAGAATACAAGAAGTGACCAAGCTGTTGATGGGGATTTCGACAGTCACCCCTTTGTAGTCATTCGGGGTGTATTGTAAAAAAAGAAAGCTTTCGACTTTTGCTTCACATCTATTGTGTTAATGATTAACCCTTAGCCAAAGATGGCCATTGGTCCAAGGGGGAGAGAATGGCTAGCCGTGATCGAATGGCTATAACAAACACGAGCATTTGCAGCCCCGAAAGCCCTTAAAAACTTGCCGTTTAGTTGTCCGAAGACATCGAAATTGGTACATAAGGTCGAACTTCACAGATGTAGTGGGCAGAACCACTTTCGATACACACACACGCATATCAAGATTAGGAGGGCCGCAACCAGCAGCTTTGCTTACTAACATAAATATGTCGCCTTGCTTTAACGTTAACTTTTGGTGTTGCAGTAAGTCATCCCTCGTCCATCGCTGGTTAGTATGATTTTTCCGAAAATACATGTCTCTTTCCGACTGCTTAAGGGCTTACCGGAGTGTCAGAGATACGTTATTCGGGTAAAGTTTGTCAATATTTTAATTTATTGGAGGGAGTAAGGTAGACATACGATTTTTAAAACTCACTAGTCGTTTGTGCACGCTTTTTTAATGTTCGCTGAAACTACATGCCTTCAAAGCGGCACGCTACCCGCTGAATCCATTCATTTAAAACTTAATGCCCACCGAACAGAAAATTACTTTTGTTGAGAGATCACAAGGAGCCGCTTTTGTGTCCCAGATTCCAAAGTAACCATTCATTTTTAGTGTCATTTTCTGTAATCAGGGGATTTTTTGAAAGTTCCTCAAAAATCCTAGTAAAATGTTTTATTTCAAAGGACCTTTCAGAGGAGTGAACAGATGGGCAACATTTTAATAACCCGCGAAAGATTGCAGCGTGTTCAGGAAGTGCGGAGAATACGTGAGGCATGGAGCAGTTCAGCCGTATTACAAGAGAAACAACCATGAAGTCTTCAAAAACATCTTTAGTTAATGGACAACGAAACCAAGGAAACCACCTGCATATAGCTCGTTTTTATAAGCTACAGGAAGATCTTCATAGGTAACTATGAGCATTCACTGTTTACGGTATTCGAAGGACTGACGTATAGGTACAATTTTCGTACTTTTTAACAAAAATTACGAGAGAATGTCGCATGACAGTTTTTGAAATGAACGACATGAAATATTGGCTCACATTATATATGGAATCATATTATATTTTCCCGCTGGTTAAATCTCCCTGAAAACCTTTGGCTTAAGCAACCTGAAAGATTGGTGTCACTCAAGATTTTGACACAGATTATTAGTTCGCCGATCACCGCCGATGAAGGTTTTCACTGTGGTAGGGGGGCGCTCACCGATCCTTTCTACGGAATTTACTCCTCCGTTGTGTCTTACGGGTTCTCTCTCGAGCCCAACTAGCAGGCGCACAGCGGCGCATGATGTAGGCGGAATGGTACTGCCAACAAAGACCAGTCTCCTTTGTCATTGTCGGTAATACCATTCTGCCTGGTTTCCACTGTACCGAACTAACTTGCGGAATTAATGGGGGCGAACTCATCTTCTAACATTCGCAGTATCCACTGCCAGGACAGAGTCGTTAGGAATGAAGACAGACATGAGCACAAAAGCTGACCTGATTAGATCTACGCCTACGCACAGGGGTCTGACTTCAGATGCGCCTCATGCACGTGTATGTGATCGACTGTCAGTTCGATGCCCCTGATGTGCGGCGACATAATGGACGAGTGGAATCAACCTGACGGGTATTGTTTGCAGTCCTTAATTTTCGCAGTGATGGATGGACAGACGTCCGATTAGGCTAGTGAGCAACAAAAACGTTTGGCCAAAGCGAATGCAAGTCTGTTATGTCAGCACCTGTGACGACTGTCCTTTGCTTCGCGGCAGCTTTTCCGTTACAACACCTACTGGAATGTCCTGTTAGGGCGAGCTCGGAACGCCTCCTAATGTCACTAGAAGGGCAGGTTAGAGGAGTTTTTGCGGCTGCGGTGGCATTTGCATCTGTCATAAATAAATGGAGAGCATAAGGCGATTTTACCTTAAATTTACCAAAGTCTGAAGGTAACATTTGTTATGCAAATGTGCGAGGGGTGAAAGCATCCAGTTTACGTCGGATATAAACTTATGGTGAAAAACATCAAACGATCTTGTTGAAGTTGCAACAGTTGCACGGAAGTCTACCAGGGTCAGTATGGACTGGGGGTATCTGCTAACAGTGAGGACGCGACGCAGAGGCCGCGGATTCCGTTTATTTTGTAGATTATGTTAGCAAATGCATGACTACTGTCTTCTGCGTGTTAAGTGTCAGTCCGGAGGTTAAGACTTCCCGGTCAAGTTGCATGACCACGACAAGTGTCGCTTTTGATATGCAGTCATTCTGAAATGAAAGGTCGTGTAGCTGAAATATAGGTGACTTTTTTACATCCTACGTGCGTTGGTGAGCAGCCTCCCATACGCTCACTATGGTGACGGGATAACTTGGACCTCCTTGACTGGAGGTCTGAGAGTCATGCTGCAATGGCTGCAATGGCTCCTTCTTAATGTGGCCTTTATGGCACTCCCATCACAGTGTGGGATCCGAGCCAGGCGTTGGCGGCACACCCAGGTGCGGCTTCGGCCGTGCCAGCCTCCAAATCTCTGTTGTGTTGGTTGAAATCCTGGTTATTTGTTGTGTGGACCAGGGGGTGTGGTGGAACGCCAAGGTGAGGATCCATCCGAGCCATCCACCTGCGGCCTCCCTAGTCTCCGGTCTTTTTTACTCTGTCTTGGCACCGGGCTTGGGCGAGGGAGGAGGAGAGAGTGTAGGTAGATGAAGCGCAAGTCTGCCGGCACTATAAACCCCTGCGCAAGTCACCGTCCCTGCTCCCACCACTGTTGCTGTGGGGCACACGGGGGACATCATCGAAAGCGATGGTCGAACTATCATGGTGAATAATGTGAGGTGGAAGAGAGATAGACGACTACGCGCCAGTGCGTTGTCCTGTTTGTTAGGGCGGACGTATCTTAAATCAGTCCAGTGCCCGTCGTGTGAATTCAATGCCGTCGCGAAGTTGACTTATCATCAGCATCAGCCCAGCTGGACAATCAAACTTCCTCCTGAACTTTTATCGTTCGTTTTGGCTCGCGTGGGCTGATGTCGAACTAAAGACAACCGGGTTCTAAACTGTACGCAGGAACAAATTTAACAGGCACAACAAATGTTTTAAGACGTCACCTTTAAGAAGGCCATTTGGCATGACCCACACAGAAATAGGAAAATATTTTCTGCGGAAACAAAATCACCCATCTTACAAGAGCCTCATAATCCATCCTATATTACTCTACAGAGATCAGGCTAAAGAGTTTGGAGACAAACTATGGCGTATTCCATGTCAGCAACGTGAGAAATGCTCACTTAAAAATTCTTCCAACAAACCTCAGTTTCTAGCTTTTCATAAACAGAAAGCTGCATGGTCAAGACTTATATCAATCTGCTCGATCAATGTCTTATGGGCGGAGTCTGGATGTGACAAGGTCTCATTTGAAAGCGAATTAGCTAATTAGATCTTCTGAAATGTCTGACAACACAACAGTGCACAAAGTCAGCTCTGTATTCCTTCTCTTACAGCTGCGGTGAGAGATAAATCAAATATTAACTACTTCCGCTTATTAACTAATACAGAATGTTGTGTTTGTTTGCAGTGAATTATAAGGCCTTCGTAGGACATGTGTTCGGCCATGCGTTCAGCAAAAAAAACAAAATGTCCGAAATGAGAGGGTTACGCCGCATAGTGTTATTGTTAAATGAAGAATGTTCGTTCTCGCGCACGAGGGGTGTCTTCTCAGTAAACATTTATTCGTCAACTTTGAGAATCGATTCGAGTCACTTAGTTTTGGCAAAACCGACCGATGAAAAAGCGACTGTCTCTCAAAGGCATTGGGCATTTATGAAGGAGTCACTTTTAAATCATAGGTCATACCTGTTTATGGTCTTTTTAGGAAGCTGCTGAGGCATAGTTTTATGCTTAATTCCATGTATGTCTTAAGTTTACACACTAAACACGGCAAATCTCTCTTGA